TCACGGCGTGTGAGATGCCGACCCCTGGGGGCCCGGTCCGGCCGGTTTGAGGGGGGGGGGGGGGCAAAGGTGCCGGCCGCGCACTTGGAGCCTCAGGAGGCACCAAAACGAGCCAAAAAGGCCCAAAAGGGTTCCGGAACGGTCCAAGAAAGCTACGAGTCGACGAGGGATCGTGCCACAACGCCGAGGATTGCCTCCAGACGGCCCCTTCGGTCCCCAAGGCTTTTGAAAAAGTACAAGGAGGCGCCCCACGAAGGTCCTCCAAAAGCAAAAAACGTCCCATTCCTTTGGGAAAACGTATATTTTCAGCACATTCGCTTTTCGGGCTTCCACGCGGCCCACAACGGCCCAAGAAGCTTCCAAGATCGACCCTCCGCAGCCCAAGAGGCCCCCAAAAAGGCTCCACGACGGCTTCCAAGCGATCCACGAAGGCTCCAGGAACCATAGCAACGGCCCAGGAGAGCCGCAGGACGGTCCCAAGAGGGCTCCAACCGAGTCAACAGGGTCCTCAAAGGCTACCCAGGCGGCCCACGCGGGGGACGACTCGGTCCACGCCGTCCAAGATTGCCTCCAGACGGCGCCATAGGCCCGCAAGACGTTTGAAAACGCGTCCACGAGGCGCTCCAAGAGGACCTGCAGAAGCAAAAATCGTCCCATTCCCGGGGGGAAACATACATTTTCAGCACATTCGCCTCTTGGGCTTCCACAAGGCCTACACCAGCCCGGTGAACCTCCAACATCGGCCCCCGACACCCAAGAGGCTCTCAAAAAGGCTCCACCGCGAAGGCTTTCTGCGCGCACCGCGAAGGCCTCAGAAACCACAGCAACGGCCCAGGACAGTCGCAGGATGGCCCCACGAGAGCCCCACAACGGGCCAAGAGGGTCCCCAAAGGCCTTCTGGAATGCACACGAGGGGGACGATTCGGTCCAAACCGCCCCAGCTTGCCTGCAGACGATTCCCCATAGGACCCCGAGACGTCTGAGAAAGCTACAACGAGGCGCTCCACGAAGGCCTCCAGAGCAAACATCGCCCCATTCCCGACGGAAAACATACATTTTCAGCACATTCGCCTCTTGGGCTTCCACACGGCCTACAACGGCCCAAAAAGCATCCAACACTGACCCCCTACAGCCCCAGAGGCTTTCAAGAAAGTTCCAAGACGGCCTCCGGGCGCCCCACGACGGCCCTAGAAACCATAGCAACGGCCCTAAAGAGTCGCAGGACGGTCCCAAGAGGGCCCCGAGACGGGCCAAGAGGGTTCTTAAATGGCCTCCTGGTCGGCCCAAGTCGTTCAACAGTGCCCCAAGTCGTCCTACATTGCCTCCCGACAGCCCTACAGGCCCCCAAGACGCCTCAAGACGCTACCCAGAGGCGTCCCAAGAAGCCTTCCAGAAACAACACCCGTCCCTTTCTCTATGGAAAACACATATTTCCAACACGTTCGCCTCTTAGCCTTTCGCGCGGCCCCTGAGACCCCTTGCGCGCCCCAACACGCCACCAGGTTGCGGCCCAACAGGCCCTCCACAATCAAACATCGGCCCATTCCCTAAGAGAAACGCCCAAGTTTAGTACATTCGCTTCTTGGCCTTTCACGAGGCCCACAGCAACCCAAGAAACCCCCAAATCAAGTCGAGGAAACCCCATGTGCCTCCAAGAGGGCTCCCAGACGGCCCAAAAGGTCCCCATGAGGGCCCCCGCAGCCGCCGAGGAGGGCCCCAGGACGGCCCCACGGGGCTCCCCCGACCCCCGACGGCCCCGAAGGGCTACGAATCGAGAAGAGATCGCTCCAAGACGTCCGACATTTCCTCCGGACGGCCCCGAAGCCCCCTGCACGCCCCGACACGCCACCAGGACGCGTCCCAAGAGGCTCCCAGAAGCAAACCTCGGCCCGTTCTGTAAGGGAAGCGCCCAAGCTTAGCACTGTCGCTTCTTGGCCTGTCACGCGGCTCACAGCAACCCAAAAAACACCCCAAATCAACCCAGGGTCCGAGGGGAAACCCAAATGGAGAATTCGAGCACTTCGCCCGAAAGCCCGAAAGAGGGCCAAAGGCACCCAAGAGGCCGTAGGACAGGCCGAGACCCCAAGATTGCCCAGCGATCGCGCGCGTTCTGCAAACTCCGTCTTTCACTCGTGCTGCCGCCACAAGGGATCGGCGGTGCGGCGTAAGCCAATGAATCATTGAAAACCATTGAGTATTTGATGGTGAAGTGTTGGGAATTCATTGTGGCTTTGGGCCGTGACGTCGCGATCTGTGTGAGGAATGCGTCGGATGTTCTGATGCTTTAGAATGCGGCGGACGGCTTCAATGAATCACCTCTGAGCTCTGCTTCCTCGGAGAGGTGCGTTCGATAATGTTTGTAGATGTAGATGTGTATATATGCGCATTCCTATGACTATAACTGTGTTCTTCAGGCGGCCGAGCGACCTCACTCCAGCGAGCAGCCTAGATGGGCTGCGCCTAGCGCGAATCCCGTCAAGCGTAGCAGATGGGCGGAACAACGCCAGGCGAGTCGCGCGCAGGAAGAGGAAGACGACTGCGCTGGGCGTGCGCAGTCAAACAGTGAGCCCCGACAACCGCGCGCTCGTGTCGCAGAGCTGGCGAGCGCGCGGGCCGCCATGGGGCGCTGGCCAGCGAGCTCCAAAGCCTTGCAAGAGGCGGGAACAAAACGGGGGCAGGGCGGCCGTGGAGGAGGAGGAGGAGGAGGAGGAGGAGGAGGAGGAGGAGGAGGAGGAGGATGGAGGAGGAGGAGGAGGAGGAGGAGGAGGGAGGAGGAGGAGGAGGAGGAGGAGGAGGAGGAGGAGGGAGGAGGGAGGAGGAGGAGGAGGAGGAGGAGGAGGAGGAGGAGGAGGAGGAGGAGGAGGAGGAGGAGGAGGAGGAGGAGGAGCGCGGGGGGTGCAGGCCCAGACCGCGAGCAGGCCGGCGCCGGCAGGCCGCCCGCCCAGGCTCGCGCGAGTCGCGGAGGCACGGCACGGCACGCAGGCGGGGCGCGCAGTGTCGAGGGCGCCCGGGCCGCGGAGCGCCGCCGGGCGCACGCGCACCGCCCGGGGAGCCGAGGCGAGTGTGCCGCGGCCAGCGAGCGCCTCCTCCATCCCTCCTCCTCCTCCTCCTCCTCCTCCTCCTCCTCCTCCCCTCCTCCTCCCTCCTCCTCCTCCTCCTCCTCCTCCTCCTCCTCCTCCTCCTCCTCCTCCTCCTCCTCCTCCTCCTCAGCGGGGCAGCGGGGCAGGCACGCCGGGCAGGCGCGGAGGGCCCCAAGGAGCAGCCGGGCGGTGCTGGGCGCAGCGCAGCCCACCAGCAGAGGCTAGGCCGGGTGCCTGCCAGCGCCGGGAGGCCAAGGTCCCGTGCCCTGCTCGGTGCCGTGCGCGCTCTTTTTTTTTGTTGCTGGGCGATCCGGAGTGCTACAGTCGGGGCGTGGACCTAAGGAGCTCTACATAAGGAGCGATGCCCCTGTTCTCCACACGCTGAACTTCGATGTCCCATGGAACACCGAAGGAACATCTGAGAAGGAAAGCGTGAAACAGCTCAGGAACACGGAGCCCCTCCCCTCGAGAGAAGGGTTCCTGTTTTTGGCGCCCCGACTGTGCTCGGTGCTGCTCTCGCCGAGCAAGAAGCAGAAATGCACACGTCCGAGCGGTGCCAAACGGGCCATGGTGGCCCAGGTCGGCCGCTGGCGGCTGGGTGGGGCCGAGGGCCGGGGCCAGGGCCCGGCGGTGGGCCGCAGGCGGGGCCAGAGCAGCGAAGCACGTGGCGCGCCTCGAGGGCGGGGGGGGGGAGCAGGGCGAGGGGCGGGGGCAAGCTGGGCGCGCTCGCGCCACGCATCTGGCGTCCGATTCCATCCCTCCCGTCCCTGCCCGCGGCGCGGACTGTCCCTCTGGCCGCGGGCTCGTGGCACAGCCGCCCTGGACCTGGAGCTCCAAAAGGGACTCCGTTATGCGGTGCGCAGTCGGATGAAGGGGAGCTGCGTACATGGGATGAGGAATGAGGATGAGGAGGAGGAAGGAGGAGGAGGAGGAAGGAGGAGGAGGAGGAGGGGGAGGAGGAGGAAGAGGGGCAGGTGGCGGCTGAGCAGGAGGATCAGCAGGAGGAGAAGGAGGAGGATAAGGAAGGAGAAGGACGAGGACGAGCATCAGCAGCAGGAACTGGAGCGGAAGGCGGGAGGAGGGAAAATCAAACGGGAGGGGCAACGATGAGAAAGGCCTCGGATCCAGAACAAGTGGCCCGCGCTGGGGCGAAAGCGCCCTGCTGCACGGCGGGAGCACAGCGCCGATCCGAAAACGAGGCCCACGCTGCAGCGAGAGCTCCTTTTTTGTGAAGGGCCGGACACGCTTTGCTGGTACAAACACAGACGCGGAAACGCGACTCGGCCAAATCTGGTGCGCGGAAAGGCAATAAGCGCAGAGGGGCCCGGGATCTTCCAGACAGGGCCAGGGGGGAGAGAAGCGCGGCATCCATTGTGACAAAGAGAAGGGAGGGGGAGCCGTCACTGCTGGGCGCCTCGCAGCGACCATGTCGGCCACACGCAAGAGTGACCATAGGCAGGAGTGACCTTTGGTGCGCGGCCGAACGGGGGGCGCGGGGTGGCCAAACCTGGGCGCGCGCAAGCTGCTGCCGCCGCCTCGCGCTCGGCGATCGGGGGACCCCATTGGGCCCGCACCAAAGGTCACTTCAGCGAAAGGTCACTCTTACGTCTGGTCGGCCATGGGCGGCGGCTGGGCAGCCCGGCGTGGCTGCAAGGCGCCCACGGGCCGCCACGCTGAGGTCTGGCCGGGCAGCCAGCGCGCGCCCGAACACACACACACACAGACACACACACACATGACACACAAGACACACACGAACAACACAAATAAACATGGCTGGGTTCACGTGCGGAACATGCGGAGGCCACTTGCTGGATGTTGTTTCCTTTTGTTCGGGGAGACCGCCTCCAATCGCAAACACATCCCCGGCCGCTATGCCATACAGAAGGTCGCCAGGCAAACGACCTGCGATGGGCAAACTCACGAGGTGAACCCTGGCCTGAGAGAGTGAGCGAGCACGCGAAGTGACGAGGTACCCACCCCTTGAGGTCTGGACTCCCTTCGGAGTGTTTTCTGCGCTCGGGAAGCAAGAATGAACTTGACGCCTCGGCGATGCACACACAATATACATGTATAGAGAGAGATTGTGCGAACCAGAGAAATGCCAAGCAAATCCGGAAAGCCTCACTAGCCGGTCTGCAATGGACAACCTCTTGTGGAGAACCTTGGCCTGGTAGGCGGCAGCGACATCATAACATCATGCCCGTGACAAGTGTTGCACGGATAACTATTCGCGTGCATGGGAGGCGGGGGGAGGAGGAGGAGGAGGAGGAGGAGGAGGAGGAGGAGGAGGAGGAGGAGGAGGAGAAGAGGAGGAAAAGGAGGAGGAGGAGGAGGAGGAGGCGGAGGAGGAGGAAAAACCCTCGAGGCTCCAACGGTGCCGCCACGAGTTTGTCGCTGCGTGCTGTGAGCGCCAGCCTGGGCGGACAAATCCTGCCCCCTAGACGGGTAGACGCTCCCAAAAGTAGCTGCCTGTGATAGTTATTGCCTGGGTGATTGGTCCAGGCGGGGGAAGAGTAATGAGGCCCACGAATCGCGGAACGCAGCAAAATCCCCGAAAATCGGAAATGGCCCCAGCCTCAGGCAGGACCGGAGGCAGGAGGGAGGAGGAGGGAGGGAGGAGGAGGAAGGAGGAGGGAGGGAGGAGGGAGCGAGGAGGAGGGAGGGAATGTCAATGGGGCGAGAAAATTGGTGTGATTCAAACGGCACGAGCTCACACGCAAGTGGGGGATCACAGCGCCTGGCCATCACTCGGCGGGCCGAGCGCTGGAGAGGCACCTGGCCACGTGTGAATCCAGCTCTCGCCCAGGGCCCAGGGTGGCCACGTCCCGTGTGTCCGGCCAGCTGGAAGCAGCACTGCCAGCTCTGGGAGGTCGGGGCCGCTCTTCCTCCCGTCGGCACCTGGCCGTAGGTGGACATGACGGTGCTGATGTTGGCCGGCTCCCCCAGGATCTGCAGAGACCCCCGCTCGACCGAGACGCGGAACGAGAAGCTCGTGGCCGACAGCTCGGCGAGCAGCTTCTCGGACGGCGAGCTCCGGAGGTCCACTCCGAGGCTGAGGTCCTGCGTCTGGCTCGCGGCGCCCTCGCTGATGAAGATGACCTCGGAGGGCGCCCGCGATCCAAACGTCCCGAGCCCTGGCCAGGGCAACCCTGGTCCCAGGACCGGTGGACATGCACGCACCTCGCCCTCCCAGGGGCCCCCACAGCTGGGTCCGAGCCGATGGGGTCGGAGGATCGCGCCGCATCGCCGATGCATCGGCGATGTAAGGGCGATGCATCTGCGAGGCATCGGCGACGTCGGCGTGGAGGAAATTAGGCTCCACGTCAAGCCGCATCGCCGATGCAACGGCGATGCAGCGCGATCCTCGAACCCCACCAAACCTCGGACGCCACCTGGAAAGCCTGGGCCCTTTCCCAGAGCCCATGTCTCACAGATTTGTTGTTCCCCGGTAAATTGGGGCATTTCCCGGTAAGCTGGGTTCTTCCACGGTCAGACTGAGAAATTCTGATAGATTCTGATAGATTATGAGAGCCCCTGAAAAGCTCTGAGAGCTTCTGAAAGCCTCGGAACCTTTGAAAGCTTCTGAGAGCCTCTCAGAGCCTCCCAAGACCTCTGAGAGCTTCTGGGAGCTTCTGCCAGCTTCTGAAAGCTTCTGAAAGCTTCTGAGAGCTTCTGAAAGCTTATGCGAGCTTCTGAAAGCTTCTGAAAGATTCTGAGCGATTCTGAAAGATTTTGAAAGGTTCTCAGAGATTCTGAGAGATTCTGATTCTAAGAGATTCTGAAAGATTCTGAGAATTCCTATGAGATTCTGAAAGATTCTCACAGATTCTGACATATTTGTAGAGATTCTGAAAGGTTCCTAGAGATCCTGAGAAATTCTGAAAGATTCCCAGAGATATTGAGAGATCCCTAAATATTCTGAAAGATCCTGAGCGGAGATTCGTAAATATTATGAAAGATGTTCAGAGATTTTCTGAGAGTCCTAGAGATTCTGACATATTCCCAGAGATTCTGTAAGCATCTGAGAGTTTCGTAGAGATTCTAAAAGATCCCTAGCAATTCTGAGAGATGCCTAGAGGTCTTAAAGATCCGAAGAGATCCGGAGAGATTCTGAAAGATTCTGAAAGATTTTGGAAGATTCTGCGAGATTCGGAGAGATTTGGAGAGATTCGGAAAGATTCGGAGAGATCCGGAAAGATCGGGAGAGATTCGGAGAGATCCTGAGGGATTCTGAAAGATTATGATGGATTCTGAAAGGTTCTGAGAGCCTCTGAGAACCTCTGAGAGCTTCTGACAGCCTCTGAGAGCCTCCAAGAACCTCGGAGAGTTTCTGCCGCCCTCCTGGCCCTGGCATCTCCGCCCCGCGGAACCTCTGTTCTTGGAGCCCCCCCCCCCCCATGCCACAATTTCTCGCCCAAAACCGACCGATGCCACCCTCCTGGCCCCGGCATCCCCACCCCACGGAACCTTCGTCCTTGCTTGCATGGGGTCCCCCATTCCGCAATTTCGCGCCCCAAACCGACCGATGCCACATTCCTGGCCCTGACATCTCCGCCCCGCGGAACCTCTGTTCTTGGAGCCCCCACCCCAAAATTTCTCGCCCCAAACCGACCGATGCCACCCTCCAGGCCCCGGCATCCCCACCCCACGCAACCTCTGTTCTCGGAACACGATCCCTCACGGCAAGCCCACGACAGGGCGACCGAGCCGACAGAGGAGGTGGAGACAAGAGGAGCAGTACGACGAGGGCGAAAAGTCTGACCCAGACAGGTCTAGATGGAGAGGTTGGTGGGTTTTTCTCTGGAGCCCTCCCAGACCCGCCCCCCCCCCCTGATCCTTGAAAACCCAATATTATCCAGGTCGCAACCAACGAGATCGGTCGCTATCGAGTTTGCTTCACATTCCAATATCGGTCGTGCATCAAAATCGGTCGCGACCGATCGGTCGCGACCGACTTGGAGTGCCGATATCGGTCGCTGACGTTGCGACCGACAAATTTACGGTATCCCATGATCTGGGCCAGGGAAGGTTGTTGGAGGGGCTGGGGGGAGGGGGGGTAGGGCCGGGCAGGGTTGGTTTCCTCGGGGCACCCCTCTCACGCACGCCCCGCGTATTGCAGCCCCTTGGGCCCCATCCCCCCCTCCCTCGCCCCCACCCCCCGACGCGCAGTCGCTGATCGACCAACGCCGGGGAGCTCGGCGTGGAACAGACCACGCCGCCGCAATGCAGGAAAAGAGGGCCGCAGAAGAGCGCAGGAGGCCGCCACCACGGGACGCAATGCGGCGCAGAAGGCGACACCGGTACTGTGCGCCACCCGTGGGACCCAGACCCCCGACGTAATGATTTTTTCATTACGTCGACCCCCGTAGGTCCCGACCCTTTCTCCATGACCGGCTTTGCATCCCGAGTCGTTTTCTGACACTCCCGAGGCCCGGTGAGGGCCCCCCGAGGCCGAAAATCAGGAGAAACCTCCCGTCGTGATTTTAATTCATTGCTCGAGGGGGTCTGGGGAGGCGCGCGTCTGCATCGAGCACGCGCGGTCGGGAGCTGCTGCCGAGCGCGCCGCGGCGGCGGCCCCCGCGGCGCGCCGTGCCGCTGCACGGCGGCTGGCGTGCCGCTGTTTTTGCCCTCCGCGGGGCGTGGGGCTCCGGAGGATCGTGCTCGGGGCGCGCGGGCGCTCGGGGTCCGTGACGCGGATGGCGCGCCGCCGTGTCGCTCCTCCCCCTCCTCCTCCTGCTCCTCCTCCTGCTCCTCCTCCTCCTCCTCCCCCTCCTCCTCCTCCTCCTCCTCCTCCTCCTCCTCCTCCTCCTCCTCCTCCTCCCTCCTCCTCCTCCTCCTCCCCCTCCCTCCTCCTCCTCCCTCCTCCTCCTCCTCCTCCTCCCCCTCCTCCTCCTCCTCCTCCTCCTCCTCCTCCTCCTCCTCCTTCGCCTCCAACTCACCCCCGAGTCAGCTGGCGGGCTTCTTCTGCGCGGAGGAGGAGCAGGAGGAGGTGGGCCAGGACCGGCGGAGCGACACGCTGAGCTAAAGTTCCCGACCTTCTGGGGAACTCTCGGCCTCACCTTCAGGCCGGCTGCTCTGGCCCGGGTAGGCCCGAGGATATAACAGGGGGTGCGTCGACGCCCGTCCCAGGCTCCGTGGGCTCTTCGGATGGACCAGCAGTTTGGGGCCCCGTCCTGGGATTTACGATAGGGGGGGCGTCCATGCTCGATAGGGGTGCGTCTGAACAGCCCCCCTGGGGTGTACAGGAGGGGCCCGAGCACGAGAAACCTTCCACAAGAAACCCAACCCTGAGACCCCAGGACGTCCATTGATTTTTGGTGTGGGAACGTAACGCTATCCATAGCAAAACCATCGAAACCCAAGAAACCCAGGGCACCCTGGAGGCAAGCAGGGTGTTTCTTGGCATGGGTTCTCCACTGTATCCCAGCGTTGCCCTCCTTGTGTGAGCGGCTTCATGTTTCGTCGAAACGTCGGGGGTTTGGGGGATAAACATCGCCTGCGAGCGAGGGCGTCCACGAGGGCCCGAGGCGGAACGAGACCTTCTGTTGCATCCTCGGGGCACCTTGTCTGTCACGTCGCGGCCCTACCCGCGTCGAATCCGTGCCAAATCCACGTCGAACTCGTCGGATCCGTGTCGACTCCGCGTCGAACCCACGCCAAATCCGCGTCGAGTCCGCATGGAGCCCGCGTCGGGCCCAAGGAAAGATACAAATTTTGGGACAGGCGAGGTCCCCCGAAAATGCAACGTAAGAGACCCCAGAGGTCTGGACCCCCTCCAGTGGCCCGTCTCTTCCTCCAGAGTCGCTTCTTGACGCCCGCCGGGCCACGGCAAAGGATCCAAAAGTTGAGTAGGGACCAACCGTCCCGGCATTCCTGTTTAGGCCTAACACGAAACCCACAGATTTTCTAATCAAAAACATGATGGACCCACGAACCCGGAAAGGGATAAAGACATGTGCAGCATGGTCACGTTTTCACGATACCCAACTGGGCGACATCTCACGAAACATCCCACGAGACACCCCGCGAAACATCCCACGAGACACCTCACGAAACATTCCACGAGACACCTCACGAAACATTCCACGAGACACCCCGTGAAACATTCCACGAGACACCCCACGAACAGGCAACCACTCAACCAGACACGCCACGAAACATTCCACGGGGGTGCGACTGGGTGTGGTCGTGCTGGGGTGTGGTCGTGCGTGGTCTGGGGTGTGGTCGTGCTGGGGTGTGGTCGTGGGGTGTGGTCGTGCTGGGGTGTGGGTGAGTGGGTGCGTGGTCGTGCTGGGGCGTGGTCGTGCTGGGGCGTGGTCGTGCTGGGGCGTGGTCGTGGTCTGGGGTGTGGTCGTGCTGTGGTGAGGTCGTGCTGGGGTGTGGTCGTGCTGGGGTGTGGTCTTGCTGGGGTAGGGTCGTGCTGGGTCGTGCGGGTCGTGCTGGGGTGTGGTCGTGCTGGGGTGGGTCGTGCTGGGGTGGGGTCGTGCTGGGGTCTGGTCGTGCTGGGGTGTGGTCGTGCTGGGGTATGGTCGTGCTAGGGTGGGGTCGTGCATTTCGCTCGAGACATCCTGCCAAAATTCCAGGAAATCGTACAAAAACAAAGGAATTAGTCGAGACATCATCGAAATTCCTTCGCGCGGGGCGCTTTTCCGCGTCGCGGTCGGCTCTGCAAAACAAGCGTTTCGCTCGAGACATCCTCGGCAAACTCTGCGGAGCAAGCGTTTCGCTCGAGACATCCTCAACACACGAAAAAGTGGCCCGCACCCTGTGATTTATCGATCGGGATTTCAAAAACAAGCGTTTCGCTCGAGACATCCTCAAATTTTAATCCGCCGGCCTCCTTCGACCTCGATATTTATCAGGGAAAAAATCCGCCGGCCTCCTTCAAGTTGGCACCGGGGGATTAGGTTTACCAACTAAAAGAGAACCCTGGGCCCCCGCCCTTTCCGGGAACAATGTACTTAGAGCAGGAACCCGATGTGTCAAAAGTAACCTGAAGAACCCAACCATACGCAGTTGTGAACACCGTCGTTGTGTGCACCGCATTCGGAGGAGCTCCCTATGGGGCTACCAAACGTGTGAGGGGTGTGCCACAATGG